ACCCCCACCCCCCTCAGCCACCTGCAGCAGTACACTGCGAAGCTGCTCCCAGCTCAGCAGGTCGTACTTCTCCAGGTCAGTGCCGCTGGGACAGTTGGGGTTGCCGGTGGGGGGAGAGGAGTCCAGGGGGGGGAGGGGGAAATCAGTTCACGCAGGCCGCAGACAAGGTCCGTTGCAGGTGTACAGGGGGCCGGGGAGGAGGGGGGCCCGCCCGCGGTGAAATACACGGGGATAGGGGTAGATGTACGGCAGGGAAACCGGAGGCCCTCCGCAAAACGGTGTGGAAGCTATAAGGTGGGGCGAGGCAGGGGGTGGAAGTAGGGGGAGGACGGAGGGGCACAAACCGTCTACGATACCCGTCTACGATACCACACAGTTATAAGTAGAATCGGCAAGTATAGTTATGATGATTACCGGTTCATATTTGGCGCCCACTTCATGACCCCCGAGATCGTCAGTATTTCATCCCGGGGGCCCTCCCCGAATAGATAACCAGCCCATTTGGCCCCCTTCCTTCCCCCCTCCATTCCTTCCCCCCTCCCTGCCTCCCCCCCCCTCCCTCCCCCTCCCTCCCGGGTACCTGTCCTCCATTGCGCTAACCCAGTACAGCTGGTCGCGGGGTAGTCGACTGACGGGCTCGTTCTCAGAGCCGTACTGCTCGTCCCACCTGGGCAGGAAAGTAGGGAAGAGGAGGGTGGGCCCAACAGCTGTGCTGTGCTCATCTCATATGTGTGTGTATATGTGTGTGCGCTAGAAGGGAACATCGCCTGCGCCCGTATGTGGGGGTGGTGTGTTCGCGTATGTGGTTGATGTAGGACAGACCGCCATAGGTGGTTAACTCCGGAGGTCCCGGGGGGCCGAGTAATGGACAGCTGGTCGCGGGATGTCGCGGGGATCCCCTCCTCCTCTCTCCCCCCCCAACTCCCTTTCCCCCCTCCCTCTCCCCCCTTCCACTCACTTCTTCCACGAATTGACCAGCTCCCGCGAGTACGGCCCCCGGCACACAGCCAGTGCACGCATGTGTACGAAGCCGGCAGTCCAGTTGGCGGGAAGAATCGCCGAGCCGCCGCTGCCGCTGGGGTCCGTGGGGGGTCCTGCGGCTCCGTCCCAATTGCCTGCTCCTGCTCCTGCTGCTGCTGCTGCAGCTACGGCACCTGCCATTCCGTACGGACAAAAGTGACCCAAACCAAGTTGTGGTGAGCTCCGAGTCCTGCTCTGACTTCCGGTCAGAGCCGGTCGTGGAGGGACAACCCCCCAATGGGGGGTGACGGGGGAGGGGGGTGCCGGGCTGGCCCTCCCTCCCCCCTCCCTTCCGCCTCCCAAATCTATCAGAAGGGTATACATACACAAGGGTTCACGCGACATAACGCATACAGCATGTGAAATGTAAAGTACATGGGAAGCGAGAGTGTCACGTGTGCGTATGTGTATTTGCACGATGGCAATTTGCGTCGACACTTCCGCTGGAGCAAAACCTGCGGCCCACCACCATACCAGTTATCCCCCCATTTCCCCGGCGCGGTTTACGTCTGGGCCCCAAATCTAAGGGGCGCCCCTGCTGACATAACAGACCCCCTCCTCCACTCCGCCGGGCCGTGTTTCTCTTCTACTCGGTTCCCCCCTCCCCCTGGCAGCAGCTTCACTCGTTCGTGGTTCGTCTTTTCCCCCTCACCCCCTCCACCCCCCCACAGCCCAACCCCCCACCTGGTGTGGGTCCCTCCCTCAGACCACTCAGCGCTCGCCCCATGACTGCCTCGGACATGACCTCGCTGGCACTCCGCTGAATGGCGGGATGGGGTTGGGGTTGGGGTGGTTATGGAAACGACAAGTGGGCAGCCCCCACGGGTATGAGGCGAGTTATGTGGGGGAACCCCCACTGGCAAACAGCAGCAGTAGCTATCCGCATTTGTCACCACCCACCATAATCACCATCACCTCTCTCCCCCCATACATACATACATACACATATACAGCTGGAAGACCCTTCCCCCCTCGTTCACCCACCTGGGGCCCACCGTTGAAAATCATGTCGCCATCAATCGGCACCACCTTCATCACAACGCTGCTAGCGACACCACAACCGCTCCCACCACCACCACCACCGCGGCGGCCGCGGCCGCCGCCGCTATCCCCCAGTCGCCAGGCCTCCCCGTAGCTCCCCTCACCCACTTTCACCAGGGCGGGCCGCTTCGCCGCAGCCCCCGCCACCCTGCGTCCCCTCCCTCTGCGGCCCGCCCCAGGAGCACACGACCCTTCCTCCCCGGTGGTTGCGGCAGTTGTAATGTCGGTTGCGGTGGTTGCCGCCAATAGCAGTTGGTCGATGACGTGGTCCATGGTGGGCAGCTGTTGGAGCTCAAGGAAAGGCTGAAGTGGTGAGGGGTGGGGTGGTGGCAGGGGGGTGTTGGCGCGTGTTAGATGCATGCAGATGTGTTAAAAGAACTGTGGGGTATCCGTATCAACTGTACACTGTCAGGGCCGTAGCGATTCACTTCTCCATGCAAGCTGTTGTTGTCAATGTTGTGCTAAGAGTGTTTTGAGGGGTTAGGGACGGAAGGGGGGTGTGGCGGGTTGCGACACCCGGGGGAGGAGAGCGGAGCTAGCGGACCTGCGGCTCTCTCCCGCGGACGGTACTGGGGCGCGAGGGGCCTCTGTCCTGCCCCCTCCTAAGCAAAGCCACCACCACCCCGGAGCCATGATGACCCGCACCCCCCGTGGCCACATGCAAATCCACCGAACCCCGTTCCGGTTCCATTTCCGAGTCCGTCGCATCCGCACTGACTGGCTCCCCCAGGGTCGTGGCGACCGAGCGAGCTGAGACAGCACTTGAAAGGCCGACGGCAGGCGTTGCGAATAGTGGAGGGAGTGGTCTTTCCGTTGGGGCTGGGCATAAGTCCCTGGCCAGTGCCAGGCCCGGCCAGATACTTGTAACGTTCATGCACACACACATGCATACGCCCTGGTATGTTTCCCCGGGATGCCGGTACTGACATGACATGGCACCCGCGTCCCCCACCCCAACCCACTCCACCCCATGTGTTCGCCAGGCTGTCTACCTGTTGGCCGCACAGCTGGAGGAGGCGCTGCAGCGGTGTGAGCGATGGCCCCGGGGCAGTGGAGGACCGCCGCACGGCGGCCGCCGCCTCCGCCTCCTCCGCCTCTGCCTCCGCCGGCGACGACGTGCGGCCCTCACCCGCGGCGCCGTTGCCCATGTCCCTGTCCCGGCTGCTGCTGCTCCTGCCGCTGCTGATCGGGGAAGAAGGCTCGGGCGGATGTGGGTCTGCTCTGATTACATGGAGCTCCTCTACGTCCAGCTCCTCCAGCTGCTCCTCCCCTCCCGGTGTACATTCTGCCTCCTCCTCCTCCTCCTCCACTTCCTCCTCTGGCTCTTCTCCAGGCCGCAGCTCCTCCAGCTCCTGCAGCTGATCAACTTGCTCCTCGCTTTGGCCGTCCTCCTCCTCCTCCTCCGCCGCCGCCGCCTCCGCCTCCTTCGCCGCCTCCTCCTCCGCCGCCCCGATCCTCCCGTCCTCCATACCCGGTGATGCCATCAGCACTTCCAGCCGTTCTTCACCAACGCAAGAGGCTCCCTCATCTCCGCAGAGCTCAGGGCTGAGCGAAGAAGTCATACGGTGCGCATGCGATACACGCCCATGCCGAGCTGCAGCGCCCTCGTCCGGCGTCAGGGCCGTGAGCGACATAGCGCTCACGCTCATGCACACGATGTCCGTCACCACATCACTACATGGTCCCCTCTCCCCGGGCGGAGATACGACAGGGGACAGAGAGCTTCGCCCGCCGCGGTGGCTGAGGACGACGCTAACAGCACCCGCCTCCGCCTCCGCCAAGACGGCCATGCTACAGCTGCTGGTGCGGCTGCGCTGGACAGCTGCTGCTGCTGGTGGTGGCGATCTGGCCCCGGACTGAGCGGAGCATTGCCCCGGCGGCACCAGCATCCTCTCCTCCCCGTTCTCCTCCTCCTCCGCCGCCTCCTGTGACAGCCATCCGCCGTGACCCACATCGCCTGCAGCGCCGCTTGGTGCAGCCGGGTGTGAGCCGCAGCTGGCAGTCCTGGAGGCTGGTTCGTGTCCGCCGCCACCACCGCCACTAGCCCTGATGACACCCAGGCGCCGTAAGCTTCGAGCCAGGACGTCAACCACCTCGTCCTGGCCGTGTGGGTCAGGGGGGAGCCCCAGTGGATGCAAGCCAGCGGGTGAGGGACCCGGAAAGCTCTGCGGGTGCGGGACCAGGGAGACTGGCCCAGGGGCCCAGGGGGAGGTGCAGGGGTGGTTATGCCAGTCCAGGGAAGTTGCCTGGGGGCTGCTGCTGATCGGAGGGGGACAAGATGGGGCGGCAGCGAAGACCTTGCACAGGCTGTTGTCCTCAGATGCTGCGGGTTCTGCAGGTTGCGCTGGTGCTGGTGCTGGTGCTGCCAGCCGCCGTCCACCGTTGGCCGGGACTCTAGCTGCTGCGTTGACACCAGTGGCGGCAGCAGTAGCAGCAGCCGGATGGCCTGCAGCAGCAGGAGCGGGCCTTGCGGTGTGTGCCCCATGCTGCACCCGTTTGGCGGGCATGCGTTGAGGGCCATTGCTGCGCTGGCTCTTGTGGTATTGGTGGCTGCGGCGGCGCTCAGGTTGCGGGCTGGGTACCGGGTCCTCCACGGCAAGTTCAAAGGCGTCGATCTGTACACCCATCCAGGAAACGGACCAGGAGGCGTGTTCCGCTCAGGGCTTAGCCCGGGACAGAGAAGATAGCAGTGAAGGTATGAGAACGTGGCCGATAAGAACGTGGTTTGGGTCCTGGGGGTTTGGCGCAGGCTAGGGAGGAGATAGTTCTTGGTTCGCAGCAAGGTGGCTGATGGGCTGATGTGTGGAGTCAACGGGACAAGGAGCTGACTGCGCAATGGCCATGGCTAATTTGTTCGTAGCGAAAGTGAGTATTTGGGAGATGTCCATGCAAGGCATGGCGCGGAGATTGCTCTGATAATGACGAACGAGCTGATGGACTTCACAAGGAAAGTTGTTACATGTTGTATCGGCGGTACTGGCCAGCAGGAGACATGTATTCCCCCACAACAGAAGTCTGTCAAGGGACCCACAGGCGAACTGATAGACTTGCCAAGCTGATGTCGTACCTCTGCGTATCGCACTACAAGTTCGGCAAAGTGTGCTCTCATAGCCAGGAGCCGCTCATGTTCCCTGCGGCTGCCAGCACTCTCCTTCTTATGGTGCATGGCGTCTAGCACCATTGCGAAAGGCAGAACCACGCTTGTCCGCCGGTCCCTTAAGCTCTTAAGTAGACCTCCCGGGCAAACAGCGGCAGGAACATTCCCTGACTTAAGCTCATGCCCGCCTGGCAGAACATAACGGGTGCTCTTAAAGCCCAAAGCTGTGTGAGCAGTTTCGGTTGTGTTCCCGGAAAGCTCGTCCTTGCCACAAACGTCACTTAACACAGCTGCTCCTCTGTCAGGAGCTGATGGCTGCGACGGGGAAATGAACATGACATGAAATTGATTTTATACAGAAAGAGATTTCTGTCAGTAGGGGCGAAGCAGCTTCCGACGTGACGCACCTCCTTCGCCCTCCGTTGAAATGTCTTCAGCACAAACGGCTTGTTATGATTTGTGCGATCTGTAAGCATTTTTACTATATGCTGTGATCCCGGGCTACCTCACGCGTCTGAAAGAACACTCAGAAACCCTTGCCTAGGTAAACGCGGGCTGCGCGCTATAGATTAAGCCATTATCGTAACGTCGTTTGTATTGACACGAATGCAAACATTTTTAGGCCACAACACGATGAACTGGCGTGACTGAAACAAACATTCCTTGCGATTGGATCCGGATCTTGCCAGGGCCAGCGTTCCAGCGACCAACAAACATAGTCACATTTCCCAACATCACGCTTAAGATATTTACACAATTGACACTTTTCTTGCGCATAAGCCATCACAACGTGCCGTCCGTGCCGCCATGCCTCCCGCTCTCCATGAACGTATCGATGAGCTCCTGAAGGGGCGCCAACTCCTTCTCGTCCACCAAGTTGTAGTGCTGCGACGCGGTGTAAGGGGTAGCATGGTAATCCCGGTCAAGCTTTGTAATGAATCCCAAGCCCGTCCTTGCTGGATGCGCGTGGTCCATGAAAACATCACATATGTTATTCCGCAGAAACCCGTGCCGCTGTTGCAACAGACGTGTGCTCGAAGACGAATCACCTGCAACCCTTCGCACACCTTGACAAAATAAATGAAGTGCTTGAAGCACGTCTTTAAATGCGCCTCTTCGCCCAGGGTACAGATTGCCGTGAAGTGCGAGTGGTAGATGTGCGCGTACACCCGGAAGAGGCGTTTGAAGATGGTCTTAGTTACTTCCAAGAAGTTGGGGGGAAACGGGGAGCCGAATTGCTGTGGGAATATCCTGTCGTCGTCGATCTGGAGAGGGGTTGGGTACGGAAGGCAGCATGCACAAGCATTGTAGTGCGCTTAGTATTGCAAGTGGAGGTTTGCCACCTTGGTGGTTTCGCCAGACCCGTGTCTTTATCAACCCATATCAAGGGCTGCAAAATTCCACACACCTGCTCCTCGATCCAGTCGTACAGCCGGTTGATATACTCGGGTGCTGAGCATTTAATGGGTTTCTTCACTTTAACGCCATCCGCCCAAAGATACTCATACTGTTACCACAGCGCGAAAGCCGTCACCAGAGAGGACGGGAAGACAGGAAAGCGATCAGTGCAAGGCACACAGAAGCAAGGCGATTCGGTCTCAACGATTCCTCATGGCATCAGAAATATAGCAGCCTTGACTTCCCGTTTGAGCTGGAGGAATTGCTGAAAATGAAGGCAATATTTGTTTCAGTAATTGTGGCACGTAGTTCCAGCAAGTTTTGGTGTACATACCTTCTAGTCCCAACCCTGACGCGCATGCCTATGGGACTAGGAGGCCGGCGTGAAGAACACAATGTATGGGCGCCAGAGCAAGTTTTCCGTGCTCATTTGTATCTCATGTGTGTACACGATGGATGACCATAAAACCCCGGCGATGACCCGACTATGCGATATTGCACCTGCCTGTACGGCCTAAGGGACTCATCACACCCACCTTGGCGCTCGCGGACATGATTTCGCAAGACCGTTCCGTGCAGACTTCCTCCAGAGTCCCGTACAATATACTTATCGCATTGTAGAAGTCCACAGTATTGACGGCAAGCCACTCATTCAGGTCCTCGCCGGGAGGCAGCTTCACTGCCTCCATTATGTTCCCACTGCCCAGCGTCGCATCGAGGTGACGTTTGAGTTGTAACCCCTATCATTGGGATCCTTAACACAGGTCATATGTTGCTCCGTGCCGCGTCCCCGGTACTGAAGTCCCACCTTGCTGCCAACGGGCGTGCTCTTCCGCGGCCGAAATGTTTTCGTGCTTCTTGAACTACATGTGCACAAACAAAACGTGATCATACGATTGCCCATGCAGAGAGCATAATCCTAACGAGAACCGACTGCAATTGCATAGCAACACTTAGCCTTGCTACCTGATGCCGAACATGATGTAATAAAGTGAGAATTCTTACAGTAACCCTGAGTTATCTAATCCTCAAGATAGCGACACAGCTGGGGCAGGTAGCGTCACGAATGAGTGGCCCAATTTTTGGTTGGGTAGTGACACGTAAAATTTATTTGAGGAACACTTTCATGATAAAGTAACTTGATGTATTTGAGGTTTTTAATACGCGTATTTCATTGATGTCATTTGCACCAAGACCGGCTGCTGTTCGTCAATGTTTTACCACCGCCGTATAGTGATGCTTGACTACAAAGTACAGAGATGACATAGAAGCATGATTCCGAGCTCTTACATGTAGGAAAATACAGGTAACCGTCGAATTAGGCAAAGTTCGTTGCACCGCTGGAGGAAACTTAGCGCCCACATACAACGCCCACTGCTGCACTCGCGCTTGCAATGTCACACCTCGCGCATCGCGCAACCTCACCAACTCCGTTCAAAGCAGCGAACCTGGCTAGCCATGGCGCGCAAATGGGTTGAATCCCTGTACACATCTGCACGCCCCTCCAAACGTTATGCCAAATTCAGCCCTGGGAACATATGACGCCAAACAACGAAACTTGCCTACACACCACGCATGCCCGTTTGCTACAAAGCACGTCGTCCTTTGACTATCCCGCGCCAACATGAGTACGACCGCGGCGGTGGGCACACCTGTGAGGCGTGTCACCTCACCAAAACACATGGCATCGTGTATGTAACACTACTGGGCGGGAAAGCAAACAGCAGCTGACGACTAGGATGGCCACTCAAAACGGAAAGCAAATGCCACCAGCTACTCCTGAAGCTCGATAGCACCCAACTGCGTAGACGGAACAAACGTCCCGGTGGGCGACCCACATGGCAGCGAGGCACAGCCATCATGTGCCGCAACTTATCCAATGGCGTTGTCCGCAACATCAGTCCACAGCTGCATCCAGCGCTTCAGCGGCTTTTGCACCACTGCTGCCGTCGACCATGTTGCCCAGCCCACGTCTCTTGCTTGGGGTTGGGGTTGGCGGAGGTGTCCGATCGATGAACCCCATAGGCTTCGCTACACCGATAACTTCATCCATCACACACGCACACCTGGATGCAACTCTAACCTTGGTCAGGTCTGGTGCATCTACGACTGTGATGGCCGCGCCTGGCTGATCTGCTGGTTTGCCGACGGCAGACTAACAACGTCCATGGTATGCCGAAGTACGCGCACAAGTACGCTTACTGGACCACGCTTACCAAAACACGCTATTTGTAACAAAATTTGAAGCAAACAATTGCTTAAGGCTTGGAGCCATGAAGTGGGTACCCATAATGTGTGAACGTATAGGAACGTACAGGAACTTAGAAGAACGTATTCAATCACGTTCGCGCATTCCTGGCGGTAACAGCATACCGAGTGCGTTGCTCTTGCCAGAGGCTAACGTTCCAGTAAACATGAATAATGATTTGGGCATCGCTCAATAGAGCAGGGTCATGCATGTTGCGTAAACTTCGTACGCTTGAATGCGGAAAAACAGCTCCGCGACTTTTAATCCAAGTGGAAACAACCCCTAACAGCGACGAGATGGCAGAGCGTGATGAAGTGCGCGGCGGAGTCGGAGAAGGTCCGGAGGAGAACGAAGTTAATGGATATGACGAAGGCGATAAGAATGGCACTCGACGGAATCACCCAGAAGTGGACGATGCGGTGATTAACTGACTCCGTTCCTTATTCCGCGTTGTCTGAAAGCAGGCGCAGCCAGCTGCAATTAGGCCTATCCGGTTGCGTGTAAGAGGAAAAGGTGAATGACAGGATCTTGGTTGAGTCAGATAGCGCGAAATGAGCCGTGCAGCCGCTGAAGTTTGAACTGGCTCGGCTAGCGGCCCCGGGCCATGTCTAGCCTATGGAGAGCCCCGAAGCGTCCCTTGTAGTAGGGTTGAAACGGGGTGCTTGGCTCCGCGGACCGACCTGTGCTGGGTGGTTGGTCGGTGCTGGTCGGGACCCCACGTTGTGTAACGCTCGGACGGCAGCATTGGCGGTGATTTCGGGGACTCGATCCCATGAGAGAGTAGCTTCGGACGCGGTGGGGACGGAAGGTCCAGCGGTTGGGATGCCGGACATGGGGGCGGTGGCAGGGAGTTCAGAAGCGGATGTGGTAGATGACGAAGATGACGAAGACGATGTCGAAGATGACGAAGACGATGTGTGAAACAGTGGGGTATATCTTCACCCGTGGCAGCTACCCTGCGAAACCCTGCCTTCCCCGGTATTTCGGGGCACCCTCATCCAGTCACCCTAGTCAACTTCTCAGTGGATCGCTCAGGTTCCGCACCCACCACCAGCATCCAACGGAATCTGCCGGGTCGACAGCGCCCCAACTCCATTGATGAGGAGACGATGTTGATGAGGACGAAGACGATGGTGATGAGGACGAGCTTGGCGAGGTGAATCGCCTAGGCTCTGATACCAATTGAAAGGTCCTAACAATTGGGGAGCTTAGGCTGACTTTACTTTTCCGAGATACCGGCGCGTACCAAGAGAATCGGGATTTTCAATCTCAACTTAGACTTACAATATGGACATTTTGGTCCGGTTAAATAGTCATGCTAGCGCGCCACGACCTCACACACCGTACACACAAGTCCTAGCTCCGCTAGCTCCGAAGTTACGACACGGTCACACACGTGTTCCGAAAGTTCGCCAACTAACTTCATGATATTACAGCGGGGTTAACGCGATTCCCCGTCGTCATAGTGAGCCACCGATTAAAGTGAACCAACTAAGCTTTACTTAAGGCCACGGAACCTTGCAATAGGGACAAAAGCAAACATAATAAATAAAGTCTTGCTCTCCAAAGCGGTCTTGAACATCACCGACTGGCTGGAGAAAAAAAAGCATCATTGCGCGCGCCATGGTGCCACATTTACTAATTCATGTAAATTATTAGGAACGTTATTAGGGACGCAATTAGGGGAGGCGTTATTAGGAACGCAATCATTTATTTACACCCCCCAATTGCGATTTGCAGCTGCAGCTGCTGCTTCATACATCATGAGACCGGCGCTTGGCTCGTGGCACAACAGGTGAAGTCCCTGTCCGATATCGCGAACACACAGCTGCTGCGGCCGTAGCACAGCCCTGCAGGTGTACTGCAGCGACTGGTCCTACCCAGCTCCAAGCAGATGTACAAGCTACCGGAGGGGGTTGTGGGAAAGATATCGCTCAGTCGGCGGAACGTCATCATGCCGTACAACTCGCCCTTCCAGGTCTTGGGGCTGAAAAGCGGGTAAACTGAAGTACCATTGACGGTGGCAGCACGTAGCGCCTTCGGCTCCTCGTTGACACAAGTGCTGTCTGTGGTTCAATGCACGCAAGGTTGTGAAATGCATACAAACATTATTATTATTATTATTATTATTGGCACAGAAGAGACAAAGCGCACAGCAGTACATGAAGCAGTGCAGTGCATGTGTAGTAGCTGGTACAGTAAGGCACACATAACGTCTACAAGTACGCGCTAAACGCTTCACCAGCATCTCAAGAGGCCTTTTCAGCGGCCAGCTACTACAGCATGCAGCAGTGCAGTGCATGCAGCAGAGGGTGGGGTAGCTATGGGCAATCAGGTAGGCAACATGTTTCGCAAAGTCATAGCATGCTAGCTAGCCGATTCACATCGGTATGAAATAATAATAATGAAGGATACATACAGTGTAAGAGCCTAGCTCAGGACTTAGGATATTTCCGAGTAGGGAATCCATTCCTTGTCATCATTTCATCGTCAAGGCAAATATCATACACGCAGGACATAGAAACATCTTTCGTAATCCTTGCAGTTAAAGCCGTACTCAGCAGTACATGGCCACGGCCATGGCTGTAACGATCCCGTACCCGTCTGCCCGTTCACGGCCAGACCTGTGTCGTAATTCTTCACTGGAAGGTGCAATTCTCTTACGCAGGAATCTCTACTATCGTACAGCAATCTCATCCAAGCACCTCCGACGGACTGCAAGCGACTATAAAACCCCAAGGGAACCCCCCCGGTGTTTATCAACACCTTCACAGTGGACTAGTCGCTAAATCTGTCTAAGTGACCAGGTAGGCTCTCACATACAGAATAACATCAGCAAATACCGTTAGTAAACGACGGGACACCGTTTGCCTGATGAGACGCTGATATAATAATCCTGAATAATAATCACTTGAAGACAGAAGTCAGTTTGGATTCGGGTGGGCAGTGTCTACAAACCATCTATTTCAGGCCTGCCTAACATGCCATGGCGCGAACCTAGGTATGGACCATTCTAAACCACGACGTATGTACTATCTATTTAAAGGCCATATGTACCTATTCTGGCATGGTCTATGAATAGACCGTAAATAATTTTACAGACGCTCAATCCGACGTCCGAACGAACTTCTGCCTTCCGTGAATATTTATTATTATCATTCCCTATGGCATAAAACGGGGGGTAACCCCTTAAGCGTAACCCAGGGGGCAGGGGTAGGGGTAAGTGGTTACCCGTGTGGGTATGTACGAAGGGAGGCCGGTAACCTAACCCCGGGTAGGGGTAATACACTACCCAGGGGTTACAGACAGGGTAACCCATGTTTGCAAGTGTGCCTCGACCAAACCCGGAAGCTCCGGCAGGGGACGTATGCTGGTGTCAATGGCTTGTAGGACGTCCCTGTCTCACCTGCCTACATATGCATGCACAGCTGTCACATCCGTCTATGTGAGCACATATGCCTGTCTCGCCTGTTTATGTGAGCACACATATGTGCATGCCTCTCTATACACTTCCATCCACGCCTGTCGCGCCTGTCTACACATGAAAACATACATGTCCACCAATCACTTGTGAGGGCACAATTGTCAACATTGCCTCACCAACACATATTCTGGTACCACTTTTGTACATGAGGCCCATAATAACAGGCTTTTTAAGGTAATTAACATAAAGTCAGCAAATGTAGAAGTTATACATGCATAATAGGTGTGTGTTTTGATTAAAGAATAGGCCCCACGCTTACGACATTGGGGCTCATGCGGCAGAAGGCCTTTTGCCTAGGCAGGCAGCTAAACCCCTCTGGTCGGTAGGGCCATGCAGCAGCAGCAGCAGCAGCGCAGGAGCCTTTGGAAAATGCACGGTTCCTCAACTATATACATGTTATGAATGCGGTAGCCAATACACATTACAATCGTGAACCTGATAATCAGTTTTAAATTACAGGGCCCGCTGCACGTGTTTGCATGGGTAGCATAGCATGTACATGCTGTACCCACCCAATCTATCGATTACTCATTTATCATACTCCTGCTCTCCATGTCCGGGCCCAATTGACTTACTGACGATAAACTCCAGTCTGTTAATGCTCATTCCCGCACAGGGGCTGCCGCTGCTATTCGTGGCTACCAGCTGGAAGCAGTAGGTGGCGGTGGTGGCGGTGACGTTCAGGGGCCCCGTTGGGATTGATGCTCGGTAGGGCGGCCGCAGATTAGTGTCACGGACATTGCAGGACGCGAAGAAGGGGAAGTTGTCCACAAGGAAGGTGTTGCCCCCGCCGAATGGGGGTGGGGGTGAGAGCTGCGGTGCCTTGGGAACCTTGGGGGGCTTGGGCGCCTTTGGTGGGCTGGGCGCCTTGGGCGCTTTTGGTGGGCTGGGCGCCTTGGGGGATTTAGGGCTCTTGGGAGGCGGTGGGTGTGGAGACGGCGGGGATGAAGTTCGTAAGATAGGCGGCGGTGGGGCGGGTGGTGGTGGGGCGGGTGGTGGGGATGGTGGTGGTGGAGATGGTGGTGGTGGTGGTGATGGTGAGGATGGTGGTGGTGGAGATGGCTGTACAGATGGCGGAGATGAAGGGGGCGGGGAAAGGGGCTGGGCACGAGGAGAGGGGGGTTGGGAGGTTGGAGAGAGCTGC